TGTGTGTGTGTGTGTATTTGTTGTGTGTGTGTGTGTGTGTGTTTATAACGTGCTGAGTGTGTGTATGTGTTGATGTGTGTGTTTATAACGTCCTGAGTGTGTGTGTTGATGTGTGTGTGTTTATAACGTACTGAGTGTGTATGTGTTGATGTGTGTGTTTATAACGTGCTGAGTGAGTGTGTGTGTGTGTTGATGTGTGTGTTTATAACGTGCTGAGTGAGTGTGTGTGTGTGTTGATGTGTGTGTTTATAACGTGCTGAGTGAGTGTGTGTGTGTGTTGATGTGTGTGTTTATAACGTGCTGAGTGAGTGTGTGTGTGTGTTGATGTGTGTGTTTATAACGTGCTGAGTGAGTGTGTGTGTGTGTTGATGTGTGTGTTTATAACGTGCTGAGTGGATGTGTGTGTGTGTGTGTGTGTGTGTGTGTCGCAGTGTGATGGCATCATCTGTGTTCATGAGGTGTGATTGTGGCTTTCCAGACATGTTTATTAAATGCAGATCAAATGTTTTAATGATGACATGAAAAAGACTGACTTGTAAAAAAAGTATTTTGTTCAATGATTTTGTAAAGTGACTTTTCTTGACAATAAAGGACACCGTTTGGTGACATTACTTTCACTTGTGTTGTCAGACTTGATTTGCCTTCAAAATATTAATGTGAATGGCAAAAAAGCATAACTATTATTATTTCTTAAACTATTGTTTGAAAGATTTTTTGAATGTTTTTGAAGTCTATTTATGCTCACCAAGGCAGTATTTATTTGATCAAAAACAGAGTAAAAACTGCAATTTAATCATTAGTTTTCTATTTGCAATTTATTCCTGTGATCAAAACTGAATTTTCAGCATAATTACTTCAGTCTTCAGTGTTGTATGATCCTTCAGAAATCATTCTAATATGCTGATTTGCTCTAATTTGCTCAAGAAACATGAAAGGAACATCCTACTATATATTTATTGATTAAATCGGTATATAAATTAAAAGACATTTCAAATTAAGCAAATATTGTTACTTAATAATAATAAATTATAGGCATCAGTTCTCTTTGTTTTACTATACAGTCATGCAATATTTTTTTTTATTTTGTTGTAAAATAAATACTTTTTAAAAATAAATTCCCTCAATAATATTTGAAAGCATAAAACCAAAATAAAATAAAAAAAACTCACCTCAATGATAAAGTATTTTTATGTAAATACGGTATTAATATTTCAAATAGCCATAGTATGTTTCAACTTCTCACTCACATGCTGCATTTTATGTGGTTATTTAAAAAAAAAAAAAAAGGCATTTGAGCCCAAAGTATCTCTGGATGGATGAGTGCAAATGCTTTCCCCAGATTCAAGAGGAACCCGTGACATTCACTGAATGAATTTTTCACTGCTTCACCTCTGCTATTTAAAGACTGAACGAGGCTCCTGATTCACCTGTGACTCTCCATTTACAGCCTGGAAAAGTGCACTTGAGAACATAACGTGCTGAGTGTGTGTATGTGTTGATGTGTGTGTGTTTATAACGTGCTGAGTGTGTATTTGTTGATGTGTGTGTGTTTTTAACGTGCTGAGTGTGTGTATGTGTTGGTGTGTGTGTTTATAACGTGCTGAGCGTGTGTGTATGTGTTTGTGTTGATGTGTGTGTGTTTATAACGTGCTGAGTGTGTATTTGTTGATGTGTGTGTGTTTTTAACGTGCTGAGTGTGTGTATGTGTTGGTGTGTGTGTTTATAACGTGCTGAGCGTGTGTGTATGTGTTGATGTGTGTGTGTGTGTTTATAACGGGCTGTGT